ACACCACGACAAATGCCAGTAATTTTGTAAGATAATAATTCACACATACTACCTCAGACGTAATCTTTCAAATGCTGAAACCTTTATAAATTACACTCGTAAAATAGCCCCACTAGGCGTACTTAAAACATTAAAGCAGCGCGCCAATAAATGCATGATCTATATGATGTGTAAAATGTATGTATTCAAAATAGTGGTTACAGTCTTAAAATGAAGTATTAGGCATTGAAACTCGTATACACCTCTAACACCTGTCAAACTGAGCAAAATAAACGGTACAAAAAAGGTAAAAAAGTTAATAATTATGTCGATTCTTGTAAAAAGTATGTGAAACCTCACTATGGTTTATTAAATGTTTTTTTGAAAAAATCTATTTTTCTTAATTTTATGTTGAATAATTTCTCGTATAAAAATTATGTGCGATTAACGTCCCTTCTCTCAAAGCAGTTCAATGCAGCGATAAGAAAAACCACCACACCCGCAAACTCTTTTTTTTCTTTAAATTAACTTTAACATGACTGAGGAGTACATAGAATGAAAAAAAACATCAGTATAATTTGTTGAGAGTGAGTTAGTTATGCGTTTAATCATCGTCAAACCTGCTAAAATAGCAGCAAAATATTTATTCCCGACCATTTTACTCTGATTACGCACAATATTCATATGTATTAAATTAACTATGTTTCAAATGTTTCAAGAACGGTCATATATTTATATAAAAAACCTCAATTTAACTGTTTTTCTTGAACACTTTTTCCTAACAATACATTTAAATGCTTGTTTTTTAAAGTTACAAAGACTATTTGTACAATTTCGATAGTTTGACAAGATTTACCAAGATACATGTATAACCAACTATTCTACCGATTGCAGACATTCAAAACAGGTTCTTCATAGCCTTAAACACGACCATGTGTTTATTTTAAAACAAACAAAAAATATAAATGATATTACTAAAATAAACAATCCCGATTGCTCTGTCATATGTTGAGCACATTGCTTATATTCCCCGCAATGTACTCATTTAAGTGGAGTAAGTAATAACATGTTATTATGTATAACAGATATATTAGTACCATATATTTAATTTTGGCATTGGCTAAGAAACAATTGATAACAAAAAACATACATTCATACTATAAAAAAGAAAACATATAGCTTCATGCGCTTTAAGGAAACATAATAGTAATAATACAAAACATTCAACTGCTATTTGTTATTGGAAATTTACAAATTTCACACAATTTGACATCAAGATACAACCAAATATTCTATTGCTGACAGACGCTAACAAATTATTTATGACCTTAAACATGACCATGTGCTTATTTTGAAAGAAACAAAAATATAAACGATCTTACTATTGCTCCAATATATGTTAAGTACATGGCTGATATTCCTCCGTAAGGTACTCAATTAAATGGAATGTTAAAGAGCACACTTATGCTTAAATAAGAGAGGTTATAACATATATATAGAGGATATTTAATAAGTATACGAGGATTTTATACAAAATTTATTGAACGAGTTGAATAGATTCATAATATGCGAGCCTTTGGTGAGCATAATACTGTTTTATCCAACGAGTTCGATAAATCTAGTTTTGAATATAATAGCAATTATTCTATTTATCACATATCTAAATAAGGAACGGTTTACACTTAAAAAAGGTCATTTTTCATTGACATCGTGTTTTTCATTGACATCGTGTAAAGCTAACATTAGAACGTGTCAATGCATTTTTTATTTAACGCAAAAGACGTCACGTCAAATATCTATCACACTATACTAAGTAAGTGTAATATCGTTATTATTCAAGCTACTTTATTACACTCATGTGCCTTGGTTTATGTGAATAATACAAATACCATATATTAATTTTGGCATTGTCAATGAAATAATTGATAACGAATAAAACATACACTCGGTCAATAGCAAAAAAAAAACACATCAAATGCTTGTGTGATTTTAAGATCATTCTTAACAACAATTAACATTTTTCCTGAATCAGACAAACACCTTTTCGTAATTCTGGACCTGAAAAAAATAAATCACGTACAACAATCATAAAGATTACGTTTCTTACATTTGTTTGACACATACTTACATTTATTTAACGAATAAAATTGAAAAAATAATGTAAGTTTTATGTAACAAATATTATAATATTACTAACTAATAAGTTAAACATGCTAAATATATTGTTCTAAATTGCTTTAAATACGATTGGCTATCATAATACCCCTAGCAAAAATTGTGCAGCGTTTAAAATAAAATCGAAATACCGTGAAGGTTTTTATAATCCTGATTAGAAAATGAAACAAAAATATATAAATAAACGTATTTCAAAAACAATTTGCTAGCAGCAAACAACGTGTTATTTTGTGGATCGAGATTTTGAAGCCACCAATAATTTACATTATTAAAACTATAACACTCTACTCTCCCGCGTCAAAACGGTAAGTACATGTATCACAACAGTCATTGGTTATTCCCTTCCAACCCTGCCCCTCCCGTTGAACGTTAGTGAGTATGGGTGTATAGAAACAACTGAAATACACCGTACTTATTCCCCACAGCTGGCCAATGCGATGGTTTAATATTTGCCCCCTAATCCCCACCCCCTCCAGAAAGAAATGACAGATACAACCTCATTTGTAGTGTGGGGGATAGTTGGGAATTTATAAGGTCACTGCCACCCGTAGATAGCAAACTTTACGAGGAGTTTTCTGATATCTACGGAAGCCCTGTAGGGACATTTATTATTTAAAACTTATTACTTATTACCTATTATTTATAACTTATCACTTATTATTTACAGATTCTTACTTATATTTAGTATTGAAACGCGCCATGTTTGGCAGGAAAAAGCTCTGTTTACCTCAAAACAAATACCGGAAAAGATGAAGGAGAACCGTAAGAACATCATTTATTTAAGGCCATATATTACGGAAGCCCTGGAAGGACATTTATTATTTATTACTTATTATTTATTATTTAATACTTAATATGTTTAACATCATTATCAATTATAAAATATTACTTATTATTTATAACTTATTATTTATCACTTATTATTTATCACTTGTTACTTATTTCAGTCGAATATATCATTTAAAATCTGTATATGTTGTAGTCTGATTATATAATGTATGCAATAAATATGTTAAAACTAAATACTTCTTAAATTATTATGTAACTAAAAATATTCGACTGAAATAAGAAATAAATTGATAAATAGTAAGTTATAAATAATAAGTAATAGATAATAATTGATAATTATATAAAACATATTAAGTAATAAATAATAAGTAATAAATAATAATCTTCCTTCCAGGGCTTCCGCATAACATGACCTTCTATAAATGATGTTCTCCTTCATCTTTTCCAGTAATTGTCTTTATGTAAACAGTTTTTTTCCTGCCAAACATGCCGTTGTTGAATACTAAATATAAGTTATAGTCTGTAAATAATAAGTGATAAGTAATAAAAAATAGGTAATAAGTTATAATTTTTAAATAATAAATGTCCCTCCAGGGCTTCCGTAGATATCAAAGCCAATTCTATTATCCACGGCTCAGAGACAAATTTACAATGAATATTATGTTTTATCACTGTATTAAAAAACAAGGACATCGTTACATGTAAACACTAGCGCCAGCGCTTGTAACACATACAAGTCATATACATAGAAAATAATTACAACAGATATAGATCAGGTTCATATCTAATTCAGCCGCTGCACCCTTTCCCAGGCGTTAAAAAATGGAAAACTATAAATTTTACCTCTAAGTAATATAATTATACGTAACTTATTATTATAATAAACATTTATTATGTTTATTTGGTTCTTTAAAAAAGTTTCGCTACATGCAGTATGTGTAGTGTAAGTAAATAAAACTTAATGAATATTCATTTCAAGCAACCAGTTTTGTAGGACAAGTTGGAAGAGCATTCAGTGCTACTGTTTAATAATTAACCTACAATTACTTAAAATAAAATGATAATAAAATAACTTCAAATATTAAAAAATGGCCAATCTTTTTTCACTTAACATTACAAGATGCATTAAAAAAATTTCATCGTCTACCGGATCAAATACATAAACAAATATCATTAATTTTATTTTCAATTTTCATTTTATGTCTTCCCAGATCCAAGTTTCACCCCCCTCACAGCAGCATTGAGGAAGGAATACAAGTGAAATACTTAATGAAAAAAGAAAAGAAGAAATTGTCAGAAAGGATAACTCTTTTTTTATACGAGGTTGTTTTTTTAGAAAGAAAAATACAAGTTGATATCATGACGTAAAATAGTATATTCGAAAAAAAAACCTGCCAGGATAAAAACAGGATAAGAAATCATGTGACATTTTATAAATATACTGTATCTTTACTCATTCGTCCTCATCACATAATGCATACCGCACTTAAAATATGACTGTACCTTTTTTACTGTTTATAATGATAAAAACTAACTGATCTAATGTGTATATGTTCACTAAGTGATATTTTATAATCCTAAAGTATTGGAAAATATAATAAAATTACTTCCTAAGAATAATAACTTCGAAATGTGTTAGGTTAGATCGAATTTAAAACCAACAATGGAGGTTAACTTTTCATTTTTACAAATTACAATTATTAAATAATCGTTTATCAAACACAAATTGTAAATATCTAATATCAATCGCTGATTAAAATAATATTTCAGCGACATTCTCATCGGCATTGTCCTTATCAGAATCTAGCATCCTGCCTTATATGTGGACCTCCCATTTGAAAATGTCTTCCAATGAAACTATCTTTACAAGGCTTTTTCCCGTTAGTATCTGATCTTTCGTATTTCTTCTTCGAACAAACTCGTATTCAGATCAAGATCTTAAGACAATATTATTGCTTTCATTACAAATGAATTCAATGAAGTCAATGTACCATACTTCTTATTTCTCAAACTTTTTTATGCAGTTATGCAGTTATTCCCTTAAATTTTCAAATATAACTCAATTCAATTCATGGAATATTGTTTTTCTCACGTGTCTAAATATGACGTATTCGAAATCGCATCTGCATCTTTGGGAAGAGTTTTCTCAACGCGCGTTATTCGTTGTTTGAGTTTTTGTTGAGTTGAGTTAAAGTCAGCCAAAAGTCTGGCAAATCGAGTCTGAAGTGTGTCTAAACTGTTTTCAATACGTTCAAGTTTTTGTTCAGTCGACTCTTCCTGTTGTTCCATTCTTTCCATGAGATCTTCATCAAGCAAATTGTCCTTTCTTAGAATTTTCTTTCCTTTATCAATAAGGATTTTCTTAGCATCGGGGTATTGATTTAAAACTTCCCAAAGATCGTCTTTTGATAGACAAAACAAGTCTGAGTAACCAACGCTTCTAATATTAGCAGTACGCCTATTACCATTTTTATTGCCTGCAATATTTAAAATACTTATTTCACCAAACACACTGCCTTCACTTAGAGTAGCAAAAGTTGTTTTTCCGTCGTCGGAGACAACACCAAGCTGTCCGCGTTTAACAATGTACATTTCTTTACCAATATCACCTTTACGACATATGTAGTCCATCGGACTGAAAACTTGTAACTTTAATTTCAGCACCAGTTCCACTAATAATCCCGGCTCACAGTCTTGGAATAAGGCCACTCTTTTTAGCGTTTCTAAGTGCACATGTATCGCTATCTCAGCTTTAAGCTTGTCTGGGAGAGCGCACAGCACTTCTTCCTCGTTTAAGGACTGTTTATTTATCCACAGATAATCAAACCACTTTATCACCCTCTGCTCCAACTCTTTGGAAACTTTCCTAAAGTCCATATATTGCTTAACACCATCCATTTTCTGCTGGAACTCGGCTCGTGTTGCGTTCATATTTGTTATCATTGAACCAACATTACCAACAATCGTAGCAAAAATGAGCACTCCAATAAGAAAGTCTACAACAACAAAGAGGTATTCAATGTCTCTTTCTGGCTGCGGTGTTTCACCTATAGTAGTTAATGTCAAGGTTGACCAATAGAAACTGTAAATATACTTCCGGGTCAAAGGTCTATTTTCTGGTAGCGATGAATTCGGATACACCCATTTGTCTGTTCCGAAACCTATTGCATGAGATATTGCAAAATAAATGCATGCATTCCAATGGATGATTATTAATATATACAAAACAAGGTTCATTATTCTAAATAAGTTTGTGAAACTTGTCCGGGTCGCCGTCCGGTCAAAAAATTCGAACAATCTTCCAAACTTAAATATACGGTTAAAACGAAGTTCTGGCACGCCTAATCCAGTAATTATATACAATACATCAGTTGGAAGTATACTGATAATGTCCATTTTAAAGTTGGTACTTTTTATGTAGTTTTTCCTCAACTTCTGTGGGTTTGTCACAAGTAGCCCCTCCTCTAAATAACCTGAAATATAGTAAAACTTACTGTTATTGCAAAGTAGCAGACAACGACAAGAAAACAAGAACATGAAGTAAACAAACACTCCCACAAAATATTACAGTTATATTGGAAAGCTATTCTTTTGCTATATTGTAATAATAACTACTTGTAATAGGACTATTTAAATGTGGCGCTAGTTTTAAGTTTTGAAACATAATTAATGATGTTAGTACGTGTTTCAGTTTTTTTCCGGGGCTTACACAAACACTTATCAATAACATTCCATTTTCTGATAAACGGTGGCCGCCTATATATATACAGTGGCAAAAACAACATCGTCACTACTTGATATTCCAAAGAAAGCAAATAAAAAACACACCAGGCGTCGGCAGATAGTTTATAATCTATCATGGAGAAAGAATAGGAAACATCTTCTCTTTTATTAACATTGCAAGTCAGCGTAAGTCATTCATCAACTCGACATGTTTCTCAGAATAATAGATGGAGGTCTCTGCTAATGTAACACTTTTGTTTGTGATGTTTTCCCATTGATATTCTGTGTTGTATCATCGTAACATAATTGATATCTTATCAGATTAATCACTTTCCAATATTCAAAAGTTATGTTTATTGTTTACATCATTTCTTTAGACAAAAGATAAATTCGTGAAGGTCATCAAACGCTACGGTATGAAATTCTTGCAGACGGTAATTTTGCCAAACATTTTCACCATGACAAAACAGTCAATAACAAAACAACTGTTTTGTCATAAATATGTAAATATTATCAGAAATGCAAGGCTTGCCTTTTTCATGTTTATTCTCATTTTTAACAGGTCTGTTAATATAATTCAGTCACTTGATACTTTGTTTGTCAAAACCTTATATACTAACTAAACATTTAGATCATTTTAAATCTCACATCGTGGCTGTTTATGTTAAAAAAGATGCAAAATGTGTCAGACGAAATATACGTAAATGATACGGATACTTCAGGTTTTATTTCACTTTTATGTGACAAAAGTGTGTTACTTATAGCACATTAACCACGCCTTGTCTTATTAATTAACTATGGATTGTTAACATAAATAATAAATAATATTGTATTATACTTGATTCATGTTTATTCATACAATAATATAACGGTTAAATATGACAATTGACCGGTGCTAGCACACAATAGATAGATATAACCTCTATTAAAGAATTTATCAAACTTTCAATTTTTTTCTTAACATGTAAAAAAATCAATATGAAATAAAAAAATTAACTTGCAGCAGCTGTGTATATGGATAATATAAACGTTAGGATTGACTAATGATAACAGACGTTCCATACAATCAAACCGAGCCTGCATTATTTTCAATTTTGCCGTTTTAGGTGTTCTTTAGAGATTTTGTTGTTTTGTATATTTTTTGAAAACGAAAAGCATTTTTCATCGGATACTAACCTGTTCTAGAGGACACAAACATGTCCATTATGTACATTACATCACCAAGGTAGTCCAACGTAAGCCACAAAGCGACATAACTATCTTGTAGTTCAATAAACACACTACGAGCAATTATAAACAGTACATTATACATCACTGCGCATGACACAAACAGTAACCAACGGTAGTAGAATGTGTCCGAGGGATCGACGACAAAACCTTTCCAGTACCTGAAACAAGATTTTTGAAATTAATTAACAATCGCAAATAGGTGGAACAAACAATATTCAGTATGAAGCAGTTTAAGGGTCAATTTGATAATGTTACTATTAGGAAAAAGTGGTATTGAAATAGAGAAAGCAAGAATCCCTAAAGAAAGTCCAACACAACACTTGAAAATGTTGCAGGCTCGGTTTGATTGAGTCTGTTCATGGACGGTACTGTAAAATGCATACTACCGTCCATGCCCCTAGCACCGGCTTAAGCAGAATTCAACATTTAAAATGAACTGGTACAATTTTGAAATTTGAAACATCCGCAGATCTGTGTGTGTCTATATGCATGCATTTCATTTAAAGCAATTGTATATTTAAATTATGAACGAATAAGGGTGGTTATTTAAAATCATATTATGAAAGAGGCTATCAAACACGTCTCCGTATAATTTTTAACATTTTAGCTGCACTCCTGCTTATTAATAAGAATAATTTACTTGTCAAAAATGTCTTAAGTTAAATGAATTTTCTAATTTAGGCCATTCACAAGTTATACACGAGATTTTCATATAAATTGTATTCACGTAAGGTATTATAAAGCATTTAACCAAAGTGACTGCAAAACTATTTAATTTTTCTATTAATTACTTCTTAGAAATTTTTGTGACATACTGTCATTTTTGGATGGTTTTGGTTATGGAAATAGTCCAGAATGTCCAAGACAAAATACTTTATGATAGAAGAGTCACTAAATATATATTGTTCAGACAATATTGAACTGTTACCGCTTACTAGATAATTCCTAAAATTGTATTGACGTCTTACTTGACTGAGAAAGATATTATTCCTGATTGTGTGGTCTTTTGCCAGACAAAATTGATGAGAGTTTTCTATTCCTCATGTGAAATTTACCATTTTCGCAGCGCCGTTATAAATCGAGAGTGAAATAAATCTTACGTCTTGGGAAAATGGAAAATCGTTTCAAGAAAAAAGGTCATTACATCAGGGCAAGAAGATCTCTTTACTTTAAATATAATACAAATGTTGTGTCTTTTAAGATATGTACTGACTGTTTAATAAATTACATTGTTGCTTATCATTAATCTGATGTCACGAAGTATGATATTATGTCTATGTGTCTAAATACAAGGTAAGCAACACGTAAACAAACTTTTAAATAATAATCACGGCCAAAACATCTTGAAAGGGGAGATCCCTCCAAAACATAAAGTTGGCAATTTTTGTCTATTTATGAAAGATTAGGATTGTAATGAGCAATATCTCTCAAACTCCTAGCACCGGCTTTAGTGGTACACAATCCTAAAATAAATGATCCCTTAGTAAAAAATAGATAAATAGATAAAAAAAATAAGAAACACTCAGATTTCAATGAGACAACTTTGCACGGCTTTTGACATCTATCTGTTTATACAAACTCTTGAGTTACAGCAATACAGTGCTCTTGATTTATATATTGTTTAAATGCTTACAAAGTATATTTTGTTTATAGGATTTTTGCGTGTTTTCTTTATTTTAAAGGTTTCATGTCATCCGATATTTCTTCAACGATATTACGAACTAAATTTTCTTACTTTATGTCCGATATTTTTCTCGTTCTTCTTTCTGGAGTATGTGACCTAGATTCATTATTTCCGCCCATAGCCACACGCTCGAGAAACGAGTCCGGTCGCTGTGGTAAAGGCCGCGTTCCCCGTAATCGACCGGAAGCCCATGCTTTGATAACCTGCAAGAATAATCATGAGATGGATACATATAAATATGAGCATTTTTAGATTTTAAAGCATCATAATGATATGTTTTGACAATAAGTAGGCCGTCCCTTATGTAATGAGATTATTGCCATAACATATAAAGTCATACTGTTGCTGTTGTTGTTACCTTTTCTTTCCGCCTCCCCTTTTGTCGTTGTATTTTAATGTTTTTACAACTCTATTTATCATATCAAGTATTAATCTTTTGTAGACAACACTGTCTTTATGTATCAGCTCATTAAGAACAAGTTCACTTTATGTTTCATAACAGCCATCAACAATGTCACATAAAGACTTATGCGACGATAACCATTCTGCCGGGGAGGCACAGTTAACCGTTTGACTTTGTGCTGGCTAATGACTTTATATAATAAAGCTGTCTGTTGTCTGTGAAAAACGTTACTGTCGTTGCAATAACATTGCAGACATCTTCGTATCATATTAATCTTGTTTGTATTGAACAAATAATTCCCCGAATGAAAAATCAATCCTATTTCTCTGATACAGGATAAGTCTACCAAATACTTAAATGTGACACTACGCCCATCAAAATATTAATGGTGAATTAAGAAACTGTTCATTTTGCTATAATTGTTTTCAATATTATTATATGCTTCTCAAAAAAGATCATTAACTCATGTTAAAGCACGGATATCTTTCATTAAGTAGAGTTAATGATCAACTGATAAAATGAATGGAGCAGTCTTTATAAATATTACAAATATTTCAAATTCCATCTTATCATTATTCATTATCAATTGTTATTTGACTGTTAGTCAAGCACCATTACCAACGTCAATATTTTGAAATATATTGCAAAAGTGATATCAATAAGTATGTCCAATAGTAAAACGAGGATACGGAATTTTGAAATTTATCTTTTTTTTATACATTATGGCTATGTGTGACCTTTACATTTTGTGAGGTACTTTAAATGATCAAACATGTGCTCTGCACATAGTCTCAGAATGGTTATTAATTTTTCTGCCTATTAGTTCAAATTCCTTTCCATCCGTTTTCAAAAAAAGTGTGTATACGAAATTGCTCACAAATGGACGAACAACTAGATGCATTACAATTATTTACGGCGTATAAACATAAGCATAATGTCATTTTAGTTCTCAATAATACGGGAAGTAGACCGTTAACAATCTCTTCACATATACTGTCCATTACCTTTTTGTGAGCATGCAAATTGACAAATTAATTTTAAATTTTGTAAAATGAATTGACTATTATAAAAGAATATATGTAATACATGTACCATACAAATTATGTAGGTATTATATGTGGCAACCACGAAAATATAACAAGGGTTAAATACAAGATCCTATATATTAATATATCGCATATAATAATAGGATTTAGAACAAGATATTTCAAGTAATTTGTGTTCAATCCAAATCTGATTTTTGGAAACATCAGAAATTTGAATCTGATTATTTCTGGTTTTCTCAGTTCTTTCCTGCTGTTATTGTAGCTTTTATCTCACTTGAAACACACACACATTGATTCCCAGCAATAATTATTCTCTCAGAGAAAAAAGAATATCGCAACTAAAATGTCATATTCAAATGTAAAAATATTTACAATTCAAATAGCTTCGTTTGCATAAAGATGTACCGAAACTATGCAAAGAGATGACAAATATTTCCCCCATTTTCTCACTGTTTGAGCTTGTGTTCTAGTTAGAATTCATCTGTTTCAGGGGTGTAATTCACTTTTGTTCAGACAAAATCCTTGTGTTGAACCAAATGAAAATAAACATGATTTACATGTTATTAGACAGGACGCGCATATGATATAAAAATGATGTTTAGCAAGATTGTATTATTAACCATAGACTACACATTTGTTTGAATGAAACAGCTGTGGTAGATTATTTGATTGATATTGAACCGATTTAATTGTTGATGCGAGAATTAATCGTGATTCAATCATGCACAATACACATAATTCTATTAAGCAACATCGTTGAACTTTAATTGTATATTGAATCATTAAACATTCTTTATAAATGTAGGGGTCGATAATATCATTTATTTTTTCATGTTTCAAAGGTAAACTTGGTCGATAATTGCCTTTTTACTTTATACATATCGCAACAACATGTCACCATTCATATAATTCAAGTTACGATCTGGACACTGGAACAGACTTTGATATTCCCTGAGCCCAGGTCCTTCGTCGGTTTTGGAAAACTTTTGTTAAAAGAATTAATGAGCAAAGAAAGATAGTTTGACTATGGCAGGAGCACACACTTGCAAATTTTGTATAGATTTCTGCACACTTATTATAATCATTGAGATTATCTTTGTTCCCAAATAATATATATAAAACATATGTCGATGCTGAAAATTCAAATTATACATGAACAATTCTTTTAGAGCGATATATGTATTTACATACATATCACAAACACACATATTATTGTTTCCCAAGAGGAAACATTGACGTTTTCAGAAGACAATCTACACTATGTAACACGCAAATATGATATTAAAATTTCTTTTATACGAGATGAGGCAGTAGAGAAAGAGATCAATATAGAAGCGTTCCTCAAAATTGCTACCCCTGATCTGCATAAAGATGTTTTTATACTTTTATAGACATATAAACAAATAAGAAGAGTTTGAGTAAATGTTATAATATTATCTTCATTTATTCATATTCTTTTAGCAGATATTTAAAATACGTTTTAGAGAAAGTCTAACGCCAAGTGAAATGCTGACGGTCTTCTTTATTGAGTGAAATAGGATTAATAGAACAAACAAAAGCAAACAATTAGTTGTATGAAGTATTGGCAACATTTGAATTTTGAAAAGGTTAATTTGACGCCATTTCATTTTCTTTGTTAAGATGTTACTATATTTAACGGACTCAGAATAAATAAAACTTAAAACACAAAACAACAACAACAAAAACATGTTTATTTTGAGTTAATACTTCATTTATCAAGGACTCTAATTTGTTATATTCACTCATGCTTTGCACTCTTATATGATTTTGAACAAAACGCATGACTTACTGCTTAACGACACGATTTTCTAATCGAGTCGTCAAAAAAACCAAAGTACCGATTTGAATTTTCTTGCTTTGTTGCAAAACATTTTTGATTCACATTTTCCTTCGAATGGAAAGACAATGTGTTGTTATCTCCGTTTACAATTAATGGACTAAGCAACCGTCTGTAAGTTACCAAAATTTAATATCGTGTAACCAGGCTGAAATTAAATCATGCGTAAAGACGTTTCATCTATAAAAACAAAGGTAAGTCTGGCGGCAGATTGCGCTGTCTCCACCTAAAAGGGAATTGGTTTCGCACGGACCAAAGCGCGTTGGTGTTGCATTGGACTATAATAAAACATCTGAATTTTCTATGCGCTAGTTTACTTTTAGAAACAAGGAAACAGCTTTGTTTTGAAGAAATTTAAAATATATTTTAAAGTTTTATAATTGTTCTGTTTGGAAAATTTGGATTGTGCTGCTCGGCTTGAAATACTTTGATAGTAAAGCGAGTTCACAAGTGTTTTTATTGTATTTTGGTTCGATTTGGTAACGGGTCTGATGACTTGAATATGGAATTATGTATGATTAAACTGTTGATTTTGTTATAGATAATGTGATACGTGTTCACTATGTTAATGCTAAAATTTGATTTTTTCTTTAATTGATGTCATTTGCTTAATAAAAGTTTATACATCGTTTAATTGGGATGAAATTAATTAATGTCCAAAACAGTAGGATAAACCATTACGAGCGTACCAGTCCTGTCTATATATAAATAAGATACATGGTGTCAGATTTTCTGGCACAATACGACATTACCTAAATTTTTAATATGACTTGCTGTAAATTTTATAATAAAAAGCATTGTTTCTTAAGAGCACATTATATCATCTTGAGGGTTATATTGTGTATACACATGTGTTCACTTGAGAAGGAAATGTTCAGAAACTCCGTCTGAATTCTTACAAGTAAATAGCCCTATGGGACCGGGATGTAAGTCTATAGTTAGATTTATCATCTTTAACATATGATAGCAGACGTCTTTAAATCAATTTTATCACATTTGCGCCGATAGTAAAATCCCCGTAAACACACTAAATTGAAAAGTCAATCATGTTGTTTTGCCTGTAAGTCTAAAACACGACGGGACTGGTTTCCTGTTAATGTCTCTGAGAATGCTTCTGTTTGGTATTATTCAAGGCAATACAGTCTACTAAAATTGAAACTGAATGAATATGTCAATAAAACGTTTTTTTTTTTGTTTTTGTTTTATTTTCGCAAAATACATCATTTTATCACTTCCTTTTTTACGGCATACTGTATGTTTGTTTGTCAGTATAATTGTGTACATGTATTTAGCATAATGCTTTTCGAATCAACAGAAAAATTAAAACTAAATTTAAAACTAAGATTGAAACTTGTAGAATTAGTTGTTCTGATTTATCACGTATTAGCGAAAAAACCGCGGGGCTTGAAATGTTATCATTTAGATCAAAGAGGGGGAGTACCGTTTACGGAACGCAGCCCCCAACAGCGCATAGCAACGCAAGACCAACTAAGATGAAAACCGCGCAATACGTCATTTAGTTGGCCTACTATTTTTATTTCCCCCGATTTGATTTTCTGTAAATAGAGATCTTGCTATTAAATATGACCTTTACCATCCTTAGTCTGAGAGTAATCTAATATAAAGCAATTTACATCAATTTAGGTCAGATCAGACAAAATGCTCTTTTCTCGACGTGCTAAATTAGTTTTAGTCTAAACGTTATTTATTTACATAAGATTGTTTAGAAAGTTAACATAATCCCGCCATCGCTTCCTAGAACTAATCAGCACTGTTGGCACACTTTTGAGAAAAACATGGTCATGACACAAGTGGGGCTCGAATCCACAATCCTTTTGTTTAGAAGCTGTTACCTATATAACTAAGCCATTTCTTACTTTAACGTGAGTTAATTATAGAAAATAGGCTGGATTAAATGGCCACGCAATAGGCAAAAAGACTTAGTGCTAGTGGTCTGGTAAGTTGATGGTATGAAAATAATAAATTACATTGTATTAAATGGAAGAATGCTCTCACTCTGGACAGATTGTAAACCCAGATAATTTATAAAACATTTTTTTTTACTTTGTTAAAGCTGCACGCCTCCAGATGAGCAAAAATATTTCGATAAAATCAAACCTGAGAAAGAGGCACTAAGATTTTAGGAAAGGTATAAAGATTCAAAATTCTAGTAAAAATTTACATGTTATATACGATTAATGACCGAATTTTTCAGTATGTATAACTACACTTCTACTGCATTACTAACGCAGTAAGGGCTATTTTTGCATATTTTGACCTCTTTATAGTGATTTACATAGGTTGTAAGTGCCATTGGTAATGTGTAAATTGCATTCTTTTGGTAACTTTACAATATTATACTGTTAAATACATTTTCAAATTTTCATGAAAATTAGCATGAATCTGGAGGCGTGCTGCTTTAAGACTTTAAAGAAAGAAAATAAAGTCGTAGGAAAATAGACAAAAGCTTTTACATTATAATTATCACCTTCTAGAAGGTTTTGTTACTTTGTGTTTTTGTTTCAGCTTTGTCTATATGATGAAAAGATTGCACTAACAACTTTGTAACTGCGTTATATTCTTTCATTTGAACGATACAAATCTATATTATTTGTGACAGCTGTTTATTAGCTTTTAGAATATACACGCAAAACTGAGACATTTATTTATGTATTTATTATATATTGCTACAAACAAAATAGTCTGTTCTGAAAAGAGCATATCATGATTGATGTTATTAATGTATTCTTTCATCTTAAGCCGAAATAATACGAAAATAAATACATGAATAGCTTGTAAATAAACAAATCGCAAATGTGCATAAAGCATTAAGCTCAATGGGTCATAAAACCAAATGGTGCGATTGCTTGCGTACAATACCTTTGTGAATGTTAACGAACCGGTATGATTTAAGACGTCATTACCATAAAATTACCGCGTTACTTATCCGCATTTTATGGGATAAGGAGACATTAATAGCCGTAACCCGTTATACGGTTTCTCCTACGGGCGCAAATGTTTGAAGTTCTTCTCGACTTGTGAAATGACATTTGAAATGGCTTCATTGGATTTGGTTTAAAAAGCTATATGTCTTACATGAAAATGTATATGTCATGATTAAAGATGCATTTAGGTTGACATTAATTCTACATTTATTTCACCTTATTTCATTCATTTTTTTCAGATGTAAATTTGTTGTTTGCCATATAAAATTTTACAATGAAAGGAAAATGTTGACATTGCATATTTTGATACTAACAAACCACGTAGTGTTTAAACTTAATTATCGGTTTATGTTGTTGCTAAGATCCACGTGAACATTAATGCTGTCAATTATCATTAATGAACCGGCTCAATATCTTTCTGGTGGTGTTAGGTTAAAGGATAATATATAGAGGATATTTGTTTAGTTCAGTGTAAGATCGGAATATATTTCACCGAGTGAGCACCAAAAGGAATATTTCACGAGTGGCGCAGCCACGAGTGAAATATGAACTTTTAGTGTTCACAAGGTGAAATATATTTCAATCATACACTAAACTAAACAAATTTTCTTTTTATTACATGCAAAGAAACGTTTTAAAAAGACATTTAACCTAATACGGAATGAAAAGCGCGCCAAATAATAATACAACGTGACGTCATTTACGACGTCACGTCATTAGGCTGGTACCCAGTACTGTGCACGCTGGTATTTCACTGAAACAACGTAAGGGGCTTAAATTCAAAACAGTGAAATTACCAAAGTGGTAATTTCATTGTTTCAAACAGTGAAATTACCAGTTTTATATCACTGATATATTTCTATAAACCACCGAAAAGCATGTAATAAATAGATATCTATTTTAGCCAGATTGTGTTGAAAGCTTACACTGGTGTAATGTATTGAAATATGTTCTTGACCGAGTATATACGTAGGGCTAGAAACATACTATTCCTGAATTTAGATTAACATATTTGCCATCTTTCCTTTCTAGTGTTAATTACTATTAGAACATTTGTGTATGTAACAAATTAAATGTTAAATAAATCACTCGGACAATTTTTGAAATGTATCATTTCTTGTAATGCAATAATATGTTGTACATTTTTCTTCCTCACTTTTATGTAACCTTTATGAACTATATAAGAGCACATATAAATACTTTCTAACATAATAATCAATTGTCATTCTAAGTTCATTTACAGATAAATACGGCGCATGTACCACATGTTTATCAAACATAAACATACATAAATCTTTCAATTCAGATACTTCAGTGTGGTTTCCGTCAAGGTAGAAACACATATGTTACAAACACACAGACTTACCAACATTACAGCTTTATACGACTTAATCCTTTTAAAAGAGCATCAAAGAAAAAACAAACATCCGAGCAAAAAAATGAACGCACCTGTATTGTTTTAACAATCCGACCAATCGCTGTGTTTTCATCTTCGTCCTTAGCCTCGTTTTCAATGCGTATTATTTCTGAGCAAGCATCGTCATCCGTCTTAACAGAGAGCTGAGGACTAATTCCGCCATTTTCTACAACTTCGTCGTCTGCGGATTTGCTCTGCACTACCGTAATGCCATCTTCCCTGGCTTTACTCGTTGAAGCAGCCATTTGTGTCACATCAAGACATCATCTGGAATTAAACGTTGAACAAAATAATGATCAAATCTTTTTTCATGATCTTACATCCGTCGTTTCATAACGGAAATAGATATACTTATATCATTTTTCCCATACCTCATCCTTAATCAAAGCAGGGGGTAATCTATTCAGTTCTTTGTAACAAGACACTACCAATTATAATGACACAGGTTGTAGATTATACATGTATAACAATCTTGTTTTCACTTATTGTTGAATGTCATAAATCGATCTGTGACATATGTCACATTCTGTGCCTATTTGTCCTCTCCAATGTCAAGATATTTCAGTACAATATTAAATCCTCTTTTAATTAGATCTTATATGAAAGGCTTCGTAGCAATGAAGAATATATTGATCTTATACTATAATCAACAAGATAAGGGTAATATAATAAGATTCAACCTAGATTTATACCACAAAAAATGGGGTTTTAATATTACAATAGCATGTGTTTTACTAATACTGTTTATGTTTTATTCTACATTGAAATATAGAATATAGTTAAATTTTTATTTCTGCTAGATAAATGTATCCATCCTTTACGTAGCACAATCCTACAAAAGTGTGATAATTTGTACGACAATTTGACATGATATTTCATGGATCGTCAAGTGGACAAATAAATTGACTGAGCTAGACTTAGACACTAGCTATTCTCAATGAATGACATTTAAATCATCAAAATATGCAAAACGCACTATTTTACCGTTAGAAACGGGGTTGTAATATTATGATAAAGATCAAGTCTGATGTTAAACACGATTAGCGTTCCATCACATTTAACTGATGATGTGTAGAATTTGTCATAAATATTTGTTTCTTAAGTATATAAGTTTATTCAAACGGGAGCATGTAGCTTTAAATAAAAGAAAAGAAAAAAACTTATTCAATAAAAGTTTAACTGCTCTACCTATTCCCGAATAATTATTCATTTATTTATATTATTTATTTATTTATTTATTTTATTTATTTATTTATTTATTTATTTATTTATTTATTTATTCATTTATTTATTTATTTATTCATTTATTATATTTATTTATTTATTTATTTATTTATTTATTTATTTATTTATTTATTTATTTATTTATTTATTTATTTATTTATTTATTTATTTATTTATTTATTTATTTATTTATTTACTTAATTATTTATTTTGTTATAAAACTCTTTAAACTGCTACTGGCTATTTATGATTATTCACATTACAAGGAACATGAATCTGTTTAATGTGTTATCATTCTTGGAGATTTGTCGATTAGATTGATCTGATAGTCCCCATCAATTACAATAAAACCACCGACAGCTGTTTCTAAGTTATGTACAGCGAAAGTATTCATATATGTAATGATTTTCTCTTCTTTTATGCCTTTTTAACATCAGCGCGCATTACAAATCGATGCCATTACGCCTGTGTATTTCTTTAAACATAGTTAAATTGCTTTAAATAAATGTTTCCTTGAGGCAGACTTTGTAAATTTTGCTGTATCATACACATATTAAACGAAATTCATTCAATGCAATCATTGATATTTTGATATTGTTTGTATTATCATTAAAGTGCATTTTCTTCTTTAAAAATGATTGCAGACATTAATTTTCTTGCGACATCTCATTCAATTCTCAATCGCAGCTGTAAGTCAGGAAAAAATAGTATATTTATAAAATTATTATATGATCATGCATGTAGCAACGTATAGATTATCATTGCTCCACAAAAAATAAGATAAGTTGTTTGTTTTTTTTGTTTGTTAATGTGACTGTACGACAGTGACAGTACGACAGTACAATGGACTATCACTATCGAAATGTCGTGCTTCGCCATCGTACTGTCGTATTGTCTCCAGTGATCGTCTGCTTCGTGCTTTAATGTTTATGTAATAACAGAAAAATGTTTAATGTGCATGTAATTATTATAAATCTTAGGTAATTTAACACACAAAAATCAACAACAACAAAAACAATATTACCAACTAAATTCCTAATTTTCCACTTACTATGCATAAAGTTATATATTACACACACATTTGTCGAGTCTTTGTATAACATTTATTAGAATGATTTTTTTTTTCATTTATCCAATTTAATACATCACAATTTTCCTAAATGTTTTGAATTTCAAGATTTTCTTTCCTCGCGTTGTAACCGTTTTAAATTAAAAGTGAATCAATTTTGGTTTACGCTGAACTTTTCATGGGAGTGGTAAGATTTTATAATCTGTTACTTACAAAAATCAGAGCGGTATGAAAAAAACAAAAAGAAGATGATCAGATGATCGGATCAGGAAGTGCGAGAATAATGTGCGAAAGATGGTGATAGTACTCATGATCTACATTAAGCATGGTTGTTTTCGAGATTTAAAGCGGCGATCAGGGGATTTAGATCAACGGCGAAGATAAGGAAAGAAAATGTATTCTACAAACCTACAGGACTTAATCTTAAATTGGAATAAATGAATGATTTGGCAAAATACTTATGTAAATACAAAATAACAAAAGCTTGTTTTTCTTCTTGTTGTTGTTTTTTTGTGTGAATTTTTTTTTATTAATATTACATGTACCAAGATGTTTAGAAAATTTATTTATGTATATTTTCATGTGGCATTATTAAATTGTCGCTAAAATGAAAGCTGTAAAAACTTGTATATATGTAATAAACATGGCCGATACAGAAGCATACGGTGGCACGGGGGTGGGTGTGTGTGTGGGGGGGGGCGTTTACTATTGCGCACGCGATGCCTATTACATGTATTTTAAAAGCTATCGGCTGTGCACGTAATAGTTATCGCGTGACCACGTAATACTATCACGTGCACACGTTGTTAATAAAAGATTCATTATTTCCCCCTTTGATGCCGTTGTAGGCGCAACTCTTTAGTAGGACAGGTGCTTTTTATTTGTTTAAATATTAAAAGAATTTCATGTAAAACAATAAGGAAAATCAGTACTGTTTATGATTTCTAAAAAAATAATCTTCACATCTTCATTTTCGTTTGACTACGTAGAAAGATTCAGAATGTCCAGTACGTATATCGACTGCTTAATACGACACAAATTAAAAACTCCTAAGAGAGACAAATATAATGCTGTTATAGCATCGTCTTTCCCCCACTTTGTTACGGTTGTCAAAGATATTGTCATGTCTTGTGTAACGTATCGTCTTCCGAACAGTAATCGTGATTATTTTAAAGGCCAATGACGTCATGTTTTATACAACACTGTTATGCGGTGAAAGATATGGTGAAATATTATATTTACAGGATGCTGGCAATCACTCCGAAGAACCAGTAATACGTTATAGCAGTGTAACTTGAAATCACGGGGGAACAAAATGTCATAAGCAAGCCGTGTTACATTAAGGAATACTCAAGATATGATCCACATTTTGAAATATTATAAATCCTATGTTAAAAGTATACAATTTGTGATACTTTGATAAAGGCTATAAGACCGAAAAGTAAATTAAGATACAATAGTGTTAAATTGGTATTTAATAGTTATTTTAAGATAGTATCTTTTTTTTAGACAAAAGTAAAATTTTCATTTGTGCAGTACAACGTGGTTCTTTTTTACATTACTAATCATATTAAAAAGTAAATAATTTCTCAAACTGGGTCGTATTTGTTTAGAACTGTTTAAAGACGCCTCGTAAAATAAGTATAAAGTGTGATGAAGAACTCAATTTATGAATTTAACTTTGATACCAAGTTGTTTATACTAAAATGTGAAAACTATTTCAGTTGATCGATTCATTGCGAATCCGAAGTATGAAGATATACTTAGAAATAGTACTATCAATATAATGCATGCTGCGAAACCGTACATAATTATGCAAGATTTCTAAAGAATAGTTGAATTCACAAATTTACACGAAAGCAATAAGATAATTAAGAAAATAAACTGCAATTTCGAAGGTCCATGCTTGTCATGTAAAGTTTTGTATTAAATTAACATATATCTGTCATACTATTGATACTATTGACATATGAGCCGCGTCACGACAAAACCAACATAATGCGTTTGCGACCAGAATGAACCCAGACCAGCCTGCGCCTCCGCGCAGTCTGGTCAGGATCCATGCTGTTCGCTTACCAACCGTATTACAAGTAGAGAAACTGATAGCGAACAGCATGGATCATGATCAGACTAAGCGGCAGCGCAGGCTGGTATGGATCCATGCTGGTCGCAAACCCATTATGTTGGTTTGGTCGTGACGCGGCTCAATTATTTGTTTAAACATATGTTCAACTGATCATACTATTCCTTAGATCATACTGATACATACATCATTAATTTTAATAACCTAGTAAACGTTTATAATTAATTATTTTTATAATAACTATAGTAAGTCATATGATTGTTATAGTAATATTCTATAGGGGAATTAACAAAATTATTACACTTTATTACCCTACACAAGCCTTATCTGTGCCGCGTTGCAATTATAAATCCTATTATATTGGCCATTCAACGACGAGCAAATAAACTATAAGATTGTTGTTTTTATCTCTAATTTAAGAGGTTAGTTTTGTCGATTTTGTACTTGTAGTCGACAACTTCCATATTTGTTAAGTTAATATTAACAACCACATATAACATGTGTGTTGTTTCGTAAAATCTTCGCAAACTTATTTAACTGTACCAAAGAGGTTTTGCATTCTTCCATTTAGACAAGATTTTATATTTAATAAACGTTTGGATTATTTTTTCTTTTCCGTATAACACTTGATTTACTAAAGCAACTTGAACAATAAAACCTCATTAATATACTTCTAAGAAACTTATACATGAACATAAGGTTAGTGTTTGAGATCCTAATATAGGATTTACAAGTTAACAAATTATTCCACATGTATATTAATTTATTAATTTCATACCATATTTATACGTTCATATCTTATTATATTCATATTACAGTCTCTTTCTGCTATAAAATACAATTGAATATCTCTAACCATCTGCATACTGCTTGATAGTCTTGTTTACTTTT